CCTTACCAGGTGAACTACGACTCCTCATCGATAGCACTGATCTTTCACATTCAAATCACTCATTCAATTTATAGAGGCATATGGTGTCCATCAGGTGGCATGTAACAAGACTGCCACAACAGAGTTTCCTTAGAATTCATCGGAGTCCACCCAGGCAAGGGATTTTTGTTGTTCAAATTGCCGTACATACGCCCATGCGTGAGTCTAAATCCCACCAATGCTGCTGAACTTTTCACAGTTTCAACATAAAACTTCAATCTGTCAAACAAACATGATCAAGGTAGTCGCGGGAAAGGAATACAGTGTATTGTATTGTGGTGTATTGAAGCTTTATCGAGTTACGTACAAGTTTCCAGCCAAAAACAGATCACCATTACATCATCAGAATCGCCAAGTTGAACCCGTTATTGATCAATTGGAACTTCTTGGTCCGCATTCCACTTTTAGAAATCCGTGAGCATATCTTATTCAATATAGGTCCGGACAATTTAACACGTGTGACCGTATATATTCTTTAGAGCGTACTATCCAAATCAGTCAGATGGTCAATTCGCCCACATTTAAAAAAAAAATGTGAGAGAAATTAAAAAGTTGGGTAAATATGTGGAACATCGATTATGATAGCCCAATATGACTAAATTTAATTTTCTCTGTTTGCCGAACAAATCCAATGTGTTCGAACAGCAGTTGCGGTTCTCCATGATCAGCGTCCTCTCGGAAATGATTGTTTTTGCTTTTGTCCGATCACTAACAGCACATTGACTTGAACACCCGAAACACTCAACGTTGCGCGAGGTTCTTTGGATTGTTTCGGACACTGAGTGATCGTTGTCGCATCAACATGTCACACACACACAAACACACTACTGAAAAACGTTGATAGTACTATGATAAAACTTCTTTATTCAAATTGCAAGGGATCGTAAGCAGTCCCAGGTCACAGTTTTACCCGGATATACGGGGCCATGAATCAAGCGCATTACCAGTAGTCTATACGGACCAGATACACTGTTTGGTTTCACATCAGATTTGCGTGCGTTATGCACTATGCATCACTGATCTCAATGCGAACCCGGTCACTAGGGTTAGTGCAGGATGCACTGATCCCGAAATACGAATTACGGATCAGTAATCACGGACTTCACGTAAGCACTGGATCACACGTGCTGGCAAGACAGTGTCACACGTAACCGAGACGCGAGGGATAAGCCACAAAAATAACAGTTCCTTGAGAGAAATCTGGGGGATTGAATAATATTGGTCAGCCAAGCCTCTGCCAATCGCGTGCTACTATTTCTGGTATTGTTGTTCAGCTTCTGACTGATTGGTTGGTAGAATTGGCCTATGGTTTTCAGTCCTGAAGCTGTGACACGCACGCGCTTTTCTGACGTCACCTGGGAAGCTAGGTTGATCACAGTTGTCCGAAAACTGAAATGTGCGGCTCTGTGGTATGTGTCATCTCGTAGGCTAGGATCACCACATGTAGCCTATTTGAGATGGTGATAAACAAGGAACCGGGAATCTTTGCACGTTTCCCAGTGAACATGCTGATTGACACAGTGGTAAAGTCATTCCAAGGCTTTTCATTGACACATTTATAATATGTGCGCCCCAGTGGACTAACTTTTGCAGTCACTGTTCCAGTGTGGTGTGAATTTAGATTCCTTGACAGCCTTCCATCTTTTCCGCTCCTGTTTTTACCCGGATTTGCAGTGACTCTCTCACGAAAAATTCATATTACCAAACTGCACTCAGAAAATACATGGAAGTAGAAAGAATCTTATCATGTAATTAAAAAATAAATCAATGTTCGACTGATTCAATTTCCCCGAATTCAGATCATTTGATTCTTTTTCAAACCCACGCTGTCCGATAGCTGAATGATTTCAGTGAGATAAAGGCAATATCGGAAATTCCGTTGAAGCCAACTTGTTCTCCTGTTATTTGCCTGTGTTGGATTGTGCGAGTCGAAGACACCTATATTGATAATCATCCAAGTCACGTCGGATTCGGTGTGCAAAGGAGAAGTTGATAGTAATCGATAATCAATGAACTTGTCCAAAGCATATATAAATCTATCAAAAACTATGCCGACCAACACCGTGATATCAGCTGGGTCTAGGATGTGATGCAATAAACACATCGGGTAATCCATGTGAATCAACCGCGGTTTAGCAGATCAGACCGTGTCTTATCAGGGTGACCGGTAATCCTAGACCGATCGATCAGCATCAAACAATCTGAAATTCCATTTCCACCATATTCTGAAATTAGATAACAATTAATCAATGAAGGAGATTCAGTATAATACAATGCTCTCAGATCCAATCATGCGTGAAAGATCAATGCCCAATCTGAAAAAGCCAGTTGCTGGGGCACCTCCTATCTTCTTCCTTTGACTATCCTGCTCTTGCCAGTTCCATTACAACACACGGGATTCTTTTACCCAGGAAACCTAATTTCTTTTATTGGTCCCTCCATGAAGGTAGAAAACGGCCTCATCAGGTGTGTGTGTGTATGGACGGAATTGTGAGGTATGATCATCCACTTCTATTTGACACAGGTTCATCGGTTAAAAGCGCGAGTGAACTGCAGCTGAAAACTCTACTCAGCCATAGGTTTTCATCTTATTGGATCGCCTGGTATGTCAGAAGGATGATATTGTAATGATGGCTCTCAATAATACTGGGTCAGATTTGTGACTTTTTCGGTGCAGACAAATCAATTTCCAGACGAAAACCGCCGTAACCGATCAGTCGGTGAAGCAATACCCACCTACTCTCTGTCTCTCTCTCTGGCCTGATCACCTGGGTCCTGCAAAGACATCACTAACAGGGAGAACAATTTCACTGACCGCGGAGTTAAGGTAGTCTACTATTACGTTTTATGTTCCGCGAGGGTGCGCCTATTTTGCATGCTTACTATTGTGTGATAAACAGTAGAGTAGAACAAAAACCCATGGTCGCGAGGACATGCTGATCAGTGTCATGAAAACCGGCAAACTATACTCCAACCGGATCTTTCCGTGGGGCTCGACTACCCAGAATGCGATTTGTTATCACTGACAGAATTCTTACGCAAACCAACAATGTACCCTGATTTCCAATAAACAGATCACTCAGAATGTGGCAAGACTGCGAATTGTTTTGAACACATATGTTGAAGCTATGGTCTACAAGTGACTTAAAATGCCAATGCGATTATTGATTGACTGGTCAATCTCGGCAATCAACATACCTGCAATCGTTATACAAATCTACTCTATCATAAAATTGTCCCTTGTCCGCCAATCAATCATCCGTGTTCAGTTAACTGATTTGAAGCCCGCCCGACCGCACCCGGAATGCATGTAACCACTGCGGTTCGCTTTTGAATAAGGTTTATGCTTTGAAGCTCACTCACAGACCTGCTCACTGGCTACATGTGTGCGCGTTGAAATGAATCAACTACACAAGTTACTTCGACCTCGGGGTGTAATCATTTATTTGCTTACCGAAAAATAACAACCACGACCACGACCACCAACAAAACTCACACTAACAACAACAACAAGAACAACAACAACAACCGGTCCTTCTCTTCAATTTGCTCCGCACACACGGCTTGTTTATTTTTTGAGATTTGAATTCGATTTCACTTGAACTGGAACAGTTAGCTCCAATTCAAGTGAGACCAATTGAGAGGGGTTCTCAGCAATCGATAAATTTCCCTTGTCATTGCTATATCCTCAAGCATGCGGCCTAATTTTAGCATATTATTTCCAAAAGAAAGTGAACAATATGCACTATCACATGCTATTGGGTAAGATACTTCGGCACACGTTTGATTTTTCTCCCCTTCATGTCTCCAATCCACTCGGAAAACGTCCGATCGGCGAAGGTGTTTGTATTTACGCGAGAAAGAGATACCCCGCAATGTCTTTTGATTCGTGCACAATTGAGATAAAACTGACACTTAGTCAGCTTCACCGGAAATGTTTGTGGCACGTCTCTCTCTCTCTGTTTAGTCTACTCCCCCACCCACCCCGATCGTCCCAGTGTCCTCCCGGTGAATCGACCGAATAGGGTGACTTAACACAAGTCCGATGGACGGGCATTCTTCCGTTTGGAGTCACTTCGTTACCAACCCAGTCCATTGGGTCGCATCAAGTTGGAAATAAATGAGGTGTACGAACAGTGAGGCACACACACACACACGCGTGTGTATGTCAGATATTCCTCAAATATGCTCGTAAATGGTAAATCGGAAGGCGCTTCAGCCATCCGAGTCAGTTCTGACAGTCCGCTGTTACACTGGTCAATTGCCCGTTTTGCCATAGAGTAGGTTGATTTAAGACATCTCACCTCGAGGTTGGGACACAATAGTCTGACCCAAAAGTCAACGGGGCGATGCCTCGAGTCCGCGGTACATTGTGGCCAACAAGGTCACACACGCAATTAGGATGTACTGTTCGGGGTCCCGACATACTTTGATCCGGANGACTACCACTGCCTAATGAAACAAGCGCAGAAACTTCAGCCCGGTTTCTGAATCGCGTTTGTGATGTTGATGGATTGGAGTGACGGGTTTCGAACCAGTAATCCATTATGGAGCCTAAAATGGTGTTGACCTAAACTGGCAGAGCACCGCCAAGGCCGAATTCAGTTGCATGGTGGCATACGGCAGTTCGAGTCAATTTAAAGCTACGGATGGGTTGTGCAAACAGCGGAGCATCAACTCTCCTCTCCCTACACCCAATAGCGTCAAGATGAACATAATACATAATACACAGTATTAAAAACAATCACGACCAAAAAGAAAGAACTGTTTTTGTAGCTCTCGTTTAAAGGAGAAACGAGTGTTGATCTAATGAGAAAACGTTTGAACAATACAATCACAGGAACATATCCGGCCGCCACTCAACGTGAGACGTATACAAGCCGACCAAAGCTATGCACAAACCTCTATAATGGGCTGTCTATTCTCTCCTCATTTATGATTGCATATTCCTTCAACTGCATATGTTCGGTAAGTTATGTTGGGCGAACAACGAGAAAATTTTCACAAAGGATCAGAGAACATGAACCGGCTTGGCCTATTACGGGTTACAATCAGACAATCACCAGAGCGTTTGTGGACGATACCGGGCACCAGACGGACAACGATGCCCTTAAAGTCATCCACAAAGTGCCTCAAACTAAGTCAAAGTATATTCGGTAAAGCCAGAAGCACTAACAATCAAAATTCGAAACCTATCATTAGACAAACAGAAGAAAATGGTTGCTGCACTCCGGTTGCCTTGGGCCGCCACAACCTAATTGACCAACCGAACCATGATCTCAATCATGTCATAATGACGTAATACGGTGTGATAATTCGCACGTGAAAAAGGTTATCGGAACTTTCCAGACATGACCTTAGTCTCACTTCCACCCATTCTCCATTTGCCCTCATGGAAACTGACAGACATGTTTGTTCTTTTCCACCTAATCTCAGTGAACCAGTCCCATCTATTTCTGACCTATGCAAAAACACAACTGTAAATGCTCTCCACTCTCCCTGCCGGATCGCATCACAAGCTATGCATAGCATACGGTTTTCCATATAGGTACCTAAGACTTTGAGGTACCGCATACTTCGCGGCAGCCCACGTCAACGAAGGGGTTTTTCTTGGGCAACCCTAACCGGAGCCCTTGACTTAAAATGTCTGATCCACAAGGCAGTGAGGCCGTTAACCCAACGTGGGAGTGTGAACCAAGCACCCGTGTTGGAGCTTCTGGTGACCTGTCACGCAAGGCCTTTGAATTTCGGTTAAGTGTGTAGTTCGCTGGTTGGTAGTCAGCTGTTCAGGATCGGCCCCTATAGTCTCATACACCCAGTGAGACAAGCGGGAGGTCCAAGGGACAGCACCTTATTGGCTGGGGCTGCCCAGCTTGGGTGGGTGGTAGCTTTCCATTGAAGTGCGAAGACTTATCCCACCGTCGATAGGAGGCCCCAGGTACCCCGCTCCTATGTCCATCTAGCGGGGTTTTCTTGACCGATAAACTACCCCTTCGTGTGTTCTGCTGGAGTGACCTCTCTAGGAATGGGAGTGCATAATCAAACGAAGCCAGAAGGTACCCAAGCAGCTGGCTTTGTGAGACTGAGCTTCGTCTGGCCTCTAACCATCAAACTTTCAGGTATGACTGGATCTGCGGCCACGAGGAGCCATCTTTTATAGCTCGCAGGGTCGTGGAGGCACGCAAGCCACCACTCCACGTCAGGATGCAATCTCGTCGTGATGGGCATAACATGTAGTTTCTATTGTATCTTACGTAACTCCATCCCGCTCTCTCGCCTCAGCTAAAAAACTTTCATTTTAATCAGCCCATCTCTCAACCGTTTCCTCTCATTTTCTTCACAAATGCACAACGTTGATTACCACTAACCTTGTCACATTCGGTTGCGGCATTTACTCACCTCCATCATCGTTGTAAACTGAGCTGTATTGAGTCAATCAGATATCAGTACTTATATCCGGTTTATCGACTTATATCTGTCACTGTTTAATGTGATACGTCGAAACGAAATTTATTGGTGAACACGGTTTTCCCCTTTGTTAAGGGGAATATTTTACGAATTCAAACTGTGGCGTTAAAATTCTTGTCCTTTGGGATCTGTTATCATTCACTGGTTGCTTGGACTGTGCTAAAAAACAAACAAGTTGTCCACACATTGTCGGATACAAGGCCATCGAAGCTTGTCGAACCAGTTACTATCACCCCCGCTGGAAATTCCCTTCGACAAACAGAAAGATCATTTTATCGAAAACAATGTGGAATAATGATTGTAGCTCGGAATGCGAATGGTGTTGTCGTTGTGTTCTCCGAGCTGAACGTGTTGTTCGCAAACGTTTCGTAACCAGTCTGCTCCATAGAGATATATTATTTTGCCTCATTGTCGCGTCACAATTCCTCCAAGACGGTCTAAGAAGCCAAACACATTCTTCAGCAGTGGATTATTGTAAACAAAGAGTAAAATTCATTTTACTAGTTTTTTTTTTACTACCGGCCAACACAATATCAACTCTGCATTTTTCTGCTGCTGTAGCAAAACAATCCTGGACATAATTTTTGTGGAATACCAGCAAATCGATATGCATCAGCTCGGTAGAAACTAATAGTACGAGGACCGGTGCGTCACATTACCGTTCTCGTAGAACAACACTATTATCATCGATTGAAGAATGCTCGCACTGAACTCAGTCGATTTGTTGTGCAATTTGTCTTGTTTTTTTTTGTATTTTCAGGTTGGCAAGATGGTGCTTTGTGCATCCTGATACTGGCCATCATCCTCGGTTTGCTTGGCACGGCTCTCGCCCTGGCCGGACACGTGGTGTTCGCATTGTCCAAACGTTTGTACTATTTTCATTCTAGCGGAGAAGCTCACGTTGTAGCCGGTAAGTGACCTATGACGTTATACGGTTCTCTTCCTCTTGGTGAATATGGGTGTACATCCTAACCTGTATTACAGATTTGCGCGGAAGTTTGACCGAAAAAAAATGTATTGCGTTCTTCAGAAAAAGACCATGATNTTTGGAGCTGCTTCCCGTTGTGCCGATTGAAACCATGCATGGATGTCACTGTTCGGTGAAATAACGTTGTTGCACGAGAATGTTTGCTACCACCGTTTGCTTTGGTTTTCGTAATGTCCGCAAGAGCAATCAATAGTCAACGTTTGTCGATCAGTGCAGCAGCCCAAAAAGCAATTGTGATTTAAAGACGGTGAATATATGTGAATGAGCGTAATCGGTTTTCCGTTAGGCACCGGACACTATTGATTTTCTTCGGTTTGGGAGCTGTCAGTTCCTCACCATTTGAATGCATTCAAATGAGATGGAACTGTTTGGGATGACCGAGAAAGAGCACGGGACAGCTTTTTCACTCTGTCTGGAACTCGTCAGCAATGAATACTTGCTATGTCCATATTAGGAATCGAATAGCGAACCTTCAGGTTGTCAGTCGAAACACTGAGCTACACCGCTAACAGTCATCACCAAACGTTCACCGTCTCAAATGATTATGCCATTCGTACAAGGTGAAGACCATCGATCGTGTAGCTTAGAGGAAAGGGCTTAAAATCCTAACCCGAAGTCGTAACTCGAATCCTGACAGGGACAAAAAGTGCTCACTGCTGACGAATCCCAGATAGCTATCCAATACTCTTTGTTGATCATCACAGATATTTCTATCACACTTAAATGTTTAGCACATAGTATACATTACTTTCATCATGTCTCAACGATATACTTACTAAGTAGTATTTAAAACCAGACGATTGAACTCATTTTCTATCCAGAGTTAGTTCTGGTAACTATATGTGGGTTGACGGAGTTACACTTATAAGATGGATGGTGCACATACAGGGCTATGTAAAAATAAATCTTCAATTTCTACCAGGCCAATTATACCAACTCCAGAAGTTTCGTACTACCCAGCCGGTCATGTCTAAGTTCATCTGTGGGTTCTCCCTCTACTTGCTCTACTGTTCTCCCGCACGTTTGTCCATTTCAGATGGACCGGAATTTAAAGCGACTTGGTTAGTCATAGTTCAATCCAGAGAATTCTTCCGACTGCACATGGTATTCAACTCATGAGTTCTTGTTCTTCAGTCTCAGACCCAACACACATCCACAAGACTGTCACATGCCCCGTTCTCGTTCGGGTTCAAACTAACATTGAAAGACTGAAAATCAGAGTTTTTCATTAATTTGGAGCATTCACCTGAACGTTATTACTTTGGTCTTGCTTGCTTTCCACTTTTGTTTATAACCACGTGTTTCTGTGACCACCTGTTTGTCGCCACATTGAAAATCACGTGGCGAAAATTTAAATAAAATGTTCTTAGAAGTCTTTCAAACAATTACAACTCTTGATCCATTCTGATCACTCATTCGCTCGTGATCGGTTTTACTGTGCCGTTTAGCATATGCGCCTAATTCCATGCGTTTCTATCGAAATACAAAACAGACAGGTGACCAAATGAGCTTAGCAAACCAAAAAACAAACAAACAGTGAGCAGCGGCACGAACAAAAAATACAGATATAAATCATAGGCACATTCTCTCATTTGGCCTACCGTGCGAGACACTGTAGAGAAACCAACGGTAAGACGGTGTTGTATGTCCACAAGACAATGCCGGAACGGGAGAACGGTATCGGACGAGGATTAACAAGGTTACACACGGAACAAAACATCTAATTTGCAACAATTGGTTAGTATTTTAGTGATTGTCTCTTTATCGGTCTTCGCCAGCTTGACAATCTATTTTTCTCACCGAAAGTTACAAATTTCAATCCTTTAATTTACTCACGAGTACCGTGGGAATCTAGCAACCGCTTTTTGGTTCACACAAACTACTCACAAACGTGAGTAGCACATCACAAATACAGTATGATGATGAAAAGGGGTAGATATAAATGACTTTAAACCAGATAGTGCTGATGCACGCAAAAATGCGTTATTTTATTTGGGAACTAAACAGGCGATCACAGATTTATTGTCGACTGAGCGTACATTTTTGTTGCAGTGTAATTTTGCAAAATCGAAACCCCACTCACGTTTTACAAATGTTAAAAACGGTGAGGAAATACCAAAAGATATTTTTTCGAATACAAATCATTCAGTCTCGACAGCGGTTCACGTCAGCAGATTAATTATCCTTCCATTGATTAATAGATTGTTTAAATAAAGAATAGAATTCGACTTATTATTATTATTATTCAACTTCCGGTATCGTATTTCAGTGAGCATCAAGAATACAATGAAATAATCGATTGTACACTAGTCAGTTTAACAAAGTTTGATGCGGTTGGATTTAATGTGGATCATATGACCAAAACAGCTGATGGCTTTGCCTCGTTTTCAAGGTCATCACAGCAACATGCGAATATTGTTTGAACGCTTATCACTTTAAATGGGTACACCATTGCAAATGAAATCAGTTTATGACACCTATGTGAAATAATCCACAAACTGGAAGCATGGAAAGATATATAGATCAAACCATAGTTTGAAAAAGCATACACCAGAACTCCAAGAATTTTTGTGTTCTTACTGAAGAAACATCTGGGTAAAAATAGGAAGTTGGATAACCTTTTACTTGTCTCTTCATGTCTTTCACCATCTGGCAATATTTTGTGTAGTTACAGGAATAAAAGTTTGCAACCAACTGGCTTCTCCTCGACCTCTTACAAAATAACCCAAGTGCTAGTTATCAGTGCCAAATAAAATATTTTTCACTGACGAGGTGATCTGTAAATGCACAAGCCCCTGATTCGACGTGAACAAAAAAGGAAGAACATATCATGCGAAAAGTGTTAATAAGTCCCATCACTCCTTTCCCACCAGATTTTAGAATAATAGCTATTTTTTTACTTTAGCAAGCTTGTATTAACCCATTCGATCGTTAAGAGGCACCAGGCACTCCTAGGTACACCCAAGACCATCAAGAGTGCCTCCGGCTATTGTGTGCCGCACGTAAAGAGTGAACCCGTAAGAACCAGGCTGGTTTTAGACCTGGTCGAGGTTATATCGACCACATCTTCACTCTCCGCCAAATTCTGGAGCATCGACATTCTTTTCTTAGACCCACCATCTCTGTTTTTCTCGATTTGAATGCAGCTTTCGATTCAGTCGACCGCTCTAAATTCTGGCGCTGTCTTTCTCTGAAGGATGTGCCCGAGAAGTTTATTTCAATATCACAATCCCTCTACAATAATGGCCGAAGTCAAGCCCAGGCTTACAGATGTTTTTCGCCCGAGTTCACCACCAAAGTGGTGTTCGTTAGGGCTGCCCTCTCTCTCCTTTTCTATTTAACTTTGTTATAGATTTGATTATAGAAACAGCCCTATCCTTGTGCGAGAATAGTGGCATTAATTTACCTCCCGGGTGACAGACTGTATGCAGACAACATTGTGCTACTAAGTGAAGATCCAGGTAAGTTGTAGGCTTTTCTGGATTACTTGAGCGCCAGCGTAGCCATGTTCGGTATGCGTTTTGCATCTTCAAAGTGTAAAACGTTACTTCAAGACTGGGTTGGTCCAGCACCCAGCCTCACTCTAAATCGGGAAGCAACAGGGGAAGTAGATAAGTTTTGTTATTTGGGCAGCTAAATTTCACCCGGCGTACGCATCGCGGATGAAGTGTCAGCTCGCAGACCGAAGGCTCGTTTGGCATTTGCCAACTTGAGACATCCGTGGTGCCGTCGCGACATCCGGTTGCCTGTGAAGGGTTGAGTGTATACTGCAGCAGTTCTGCCAGTTCTGCTACACGGTGCAGAAACTTGGCTATTAAAAAAAACAGGATAAAGATAGACTGTCGGTGTTTGAACACCGCTGTCTAGGCAGCATTGCACGAATCTGGTGGGGCAGCCGG